ACGACTACTAATGGTACCGTCTTTTGTGACACGTCTGCAGGTCTACCTCGACCAGTAGTACCCTCATCATTTCGTCGTTTAGTTCTCGACACCTTACATGGTTTATCGCACACAGGCATCGCGGCAACACTTCGTTCAATTCATTTCGCTTGTTCGCCGAGCTTGGCAATTTNCATCACCAGCCGAGGTAACATCATCACAAGGACTGATGATGTCACCTCGGCTGGTGATGAAACGTTTGCAAACAAATTGCCAAGCTCGGCGAACAGGCAAAATGTAATTCAGTTCACCCGAGCTACGAAAACCAATTTTCTATACTTTGTCAACTTTGTTTGATTTTCGCACGATACGTCTGGTCATCCATGAATAAGGACGATCGAAAATGGGCTAAACAGTGTTTACAGTGTCGACGATCCATCGATCACATCGATATTGTAGGCCACTTACCACCGTCACACGGTTATACTCATTTACTCACGTGTATTGCCAGGTTCACTGGATGGCCGGAGGCTATTCCTATCTCTACTGTCACGGCCGAAGCAGTGGCTCGACATTTCGTAGAACGATGAATAGCACTCTATGGTTGTCAGAGGAGCACAATTCGAATCAGAATTATTCGCTTCGCTAACACGATTACTGTGTACGGAACGCATCCTCACAACTGCTTACCATCCAGTATCTAGTCGGCTAGTCGAGAGTTTTCACCGTCAACTTAAGGGTGCTCTTCGGGCACACGAGAACCTTAATTGGTACGAGACGTTACCTCTTGTTCTGTTAGGCATCAGAACATGCGTAAAGGCAAATATCCCATATACAGCTGCTGAGCTGGTTTTCGGCACTACATTACGACTGCTTGGAGAATTTTTCACGCCACGCAACATGGATTCCATTGGAATACAGGACTACGTACAACGTTTGTCTACGTTTGTCTTGTCTCCGGCACAAACTCGAATACAGCAACGAAAGGCGTTCATACCCCCTGAACTCCTAACCTGTTCGTACGTATTCATTCGAATTGATGTGGTACGTAAACCGTTACAACAGCCTTACGAAGAATCTTTTCGAGTTATTTCGTGTCACGAAAAGTTCTTCAAGATTGATCGACATGGTCGCGTCGATACGATTTACATCGAACGGCTCAAGGCAGCATATGTCGACGATGGCGTAGTGCACGCCAGTTCAAGACCCGATGTTATTCCTGCACGGCCAATGATTAAGGCACCTACCTCAGAGTCGAGCTCGCAGATAGCAGTACTGGCTACGATTTTAAATGAGGCGACTGTCTTACGTTCAGATCAGCAGTGCGCGAACACCTCATCAGACCAGGACGAGACATCAGTCTAACGTTCAGGTCGAAGGATTGTTTTGCCTGCCCGTCTGAGGGATTGAGCAAACCACGATCCGCACAAGCGTATAACGTGAGCAATGCCTATTATGACTTATATCAAGAGATGCCTTACTTCGATATTTGTTTTGTATGCTCAATGATTGTTTATGATTGATGCAGCCATTTTCAACGTTAGGATGCCAAGCTGGTTTTCTCCGACAATCTTTCACTTCCAGAGATCAGGTCATACGAAACGAACATTGAGTGCCTCGAGGTTCAACGAGAATTTTGGCACTCTCTCGCACGATCGTGGCCCCGTTGGATCTCAAGAGTTTGTTGGAGACGATTTACGTTTCTACGGTCGCCTACACGAACGACAAGTGGTCTACTTCGTTCATTCTGGCACGCCAACGATCACGGGCGCTAGAAACTACGAGACACCTGACACCATGATACAAACAAACGATTCGGATGGTGTGAATCATCCAATGACCGATTGAGGATACGTCACTATGGTTTCCTTGCTGACATTCGATTCAACGAATCTGGTTCATGTTCGACTGACGCAAAATAGTCCGCACATACCAACGATTCTGCCAGTCCACCTCTTGCAGTACGGCCACGCGCTAACGATTACCTGCTTTACAAACTCGTTTCTGAATCGAAATCCTTTGCTTGTTTTTGGCGGGGGTGATTGTACGAAGAAAAGGAGCAATCCACGAGGACGTTTTCCGTTCATATTTTCTTCACAATCAACTCTCACTCCAACTGTGATATTTCTTCTTTTTACTTCTTCTTGTTTTACTGAACACCGTTTTCCGCTTGGGCGTATATATAATCTGGGTCCCGTTCAAACCCATGCTACACGTGTGACACGCTTTCGCTTTGCTACTGCATTTATTGCTTGCGTTGTTTAGCATCACCTCAGCACGGTTCGGTACTATCTAATGCCACGATTCGCTAATAAACGTTTACGACTCCCACGAGTGTTTTTGTCTACCCCGGGCAACGAGACACTATAAAGTCGCGGGCATTTTGAGACTCGTAAGAAGAACTCAATAGTAGAATCACCTATAATTCGTTATCTGAAAGTTTACAGTGATACAATAAATTTCCTATACATACTTAACCGTGATCCTCAGTAGACGGACCGTAAAATGATAAACGAACAGGTAGAGTGTTGATGCTCAACCGAGGGGAATCAAACGAGAATCAAAATCGTTATGTTTTACAGGAAAAATAATAAACGGTTCATACACAAAAAGGCCATATTAAATGAGAGAAACGAGAATGCCACTCAAAAAAACCTATCTGAGTCAGCCAAATGTTGTTTTCATAATTTACGGTCCTACAGCCGCCGTAACAGAGGAAATCATTACAAACGGTGCCACCTTTGATATCATAAGCGCTGTATCAAGCTGACGAAAAAGTGCTACGACGTATACACGATGCACAGGTTCACTGTATGGCGCTAATAAAGGAATGCTCACTTATCACGTGGAGAAAGCAGTAGGAACCCTGGCCGGTCGGATCAGCCTAAGGAGACGAAACCCTGGGTGCCCAAAAGTAAGAAAGAAAGCCGTAAGGAAAACATAGGTTCAAATGCTAACATGAAAGGAAAACCTGCCCAAGTAGCTCACGAGAGGAACGCAGAGAGTATGGCAAATTTAAAATCTAGGTTAGAACGGCTTGAAAAGCAGCTGAAACTCCTGAAAGAAACTAATCAATCAATCCTAGGCGGGCTAGGAACACACTTCTACACAACTACTTTGAGCCCGTGATTAGAGACCCCAATTCTCGGCAAGAAGCGAGCCGGAAGTATGTGCAGACCGTGCTTAGGCTAGCGAGGATGCCTGTACGTCAACCAATTCGCACTTGAGTGACGCGTAGCCCAACCGATACGAATCCCGAAG